CTGGTGTTTCGTGAGCTAGATCGACGTACAACTTTTTTATTTAAACGTTCAGAAGCTCTTGACGAACGGGAAGAAGATCTTGATCGTGAACGTGAACGTGAACGTGAAGACAGAGCACCTCTTACTGATCTTTTACTAGCGGACCTATCAAAATTATAAATTATAGTACATAACTAGAAGCCATTGTATGATATAAATTAWAAATTTATGTATATTTAGAATTTATATTAAAAACCATATGTAAATTTAAAATAAGAACCTTAATTTATTTTTAAATAATTTTTCTATTTTTCACATAATATACTTACTTTTAAATATTACTTTATATATTGTAATATTTTTCAAAATTGTTTTTCCCTTATTTTTGTAAATATAAGAACAATTTGTGTATATATAAAAGCTTCAAATGGTGTATCCCAAAAATGTTTGTTGTCAAAACGTATTATACGTATACACATGTAGTTCAGGATATACCAGATTACTTTGTTTTTCGGTATCAATGTAAAACTAAAAACATATTAACTATAAAATATTGTTCTAACATTTCAAATTAGATATGTGTTGTTACTATRTAACAAAGATTTTGTATAAATTACCTTGTACGAGAACGGCCTTTAGATGATTTGCGTGCAGTGGTCCTTTTGTCACCATCAGATACACGCGAGCTTTCACTATGATTCGAGGAGGGAGTACGCTTTTTTGTGTCGCGTTTTTTACCAGGTCCATTGTCTTCATGCCCATTGACAGGGGTATGTGGATTAGAGTGTCGCGAGCTTGAACGCTTTCGATAGGGAGATGAAGTTGTGTTTTTGGAATTTCTTGCTGCCGGTGGGGATGGCTTTCGTTTTACAGGTGATTTKGAACGTGATCTTGATCTCGATCGTCTATCTTTCGAACGACGACTTTTCGATTTTGGACTTTGACGTTTTTGAGGCGAATTAGAGCGTGAAATCTGACGTTTCTTGCTTGGTGGCCGTCTAACACTACGATCCCTGGAACGACTACGAGTGCTGCGACGACGACGACGATCTCCGCCAGATGACCTTCGCCTCGGTGAACGCGATAGTCGCCTTCTATCTCTTGGAGAATTGCGGCGTCTCTGCGGTGACGAATTGCGCTCACGAGATGATTTTCGCACCACTGATCTATCTCTGGAGCGTTTTCGTGGTGATCGATTGCGTATTTTTGATGCGGCCGCTTCTGCTGCTGCAGATCTTGCACTAGCATTTGGTGACCTGGAACGATCGCGCAGTAAAGCTGCAGCTGCTGCTGCCGCAGCATTCGCACCGGCTGAATTACCCCCCTCAAATTGCTTGCTTTGGGAAACATTACCTAAATTAGTTTCTTCAGCCGAATTCGATCTAGATTTAGCTGATAATTGTGACCTAACCTGCTCGATAGCGCTCAATGTACTTGGTGGTAACTGCTGCTCACGCTGACTCATTTCATCACGTTGTCCGTCGTTAGAACGATCTCTACCGGTGCGTCTGTCACGATCGCGATCCCGATCGCGTTCATTATCCCTATCGCGATCCCTGTCTCTATCCCTATCGCGTGAACGCGAACGATCATTTTGGCGTTGTTGCTCTTCCCTCTTAAGTATCTCATCTTTCTTTTGCTGAATAAACTCGGCAGGGATTCCACTTTCGCTCTCTTGTGCAGATAGTAACAAAGACCATAATTCACCCATAAACTGTCGTGCATTTTTTCCATTTAGAAATCCTGTCATATTTATTTGCATTTTTTTTGGGCAAGGAAATTTTTCTTCCTCCAACTGATTGTAAACAAATTCAACCACAACATCGTCTTCGATGTGTAAAATATCCGTGATTTTTTTGCTGATCCATGGCCGCAACACATCTAGTTTCACCTTTGACATATCCACACGTTTATTTAGGCAGTCTCCAAACTTCATTTGCTTCATTAATTTCTTCTCCTTGTCGCTGAAGCGAGTGTCCTGCTGTTGAGTGGTGCCCTGGAAATATTTGTTGTTACCGAATAGGTTAATATTCACAAAACGAAAAGTCTCAAAATTAAAAAAATAATACATATTTCAACGTCACATCCCTTCACTTTATTCCAGAAAAAAAAATCGTTGACATATTAATAAATTTACCTTTATTGCAAAAGAATGATTTTCACTTTTTCCCAAATTAATATCGAAGTGCAAATAAGTGACAATTTTATGAATATTTTTATAAATGTGAGTATTTAACCAATTCAAAAGACTAGATTTTCCGTTCCCACGACAGTCGGGTCTACGAAAACCGGAACGGACCCGGATTTTTATCCGGCCAAGGACTGTCAACTCGSCAGAATTCTGCCGTTACAACAACAACAACAACTAGATTTTTATATGTTAAGACAGATAGCAACCAAAATCATTACTGAACGTTTTACATTCACTTTTAAGTAATCTAATGTTTAAAATAAATATTGTCCATTATTCCATCAGCATGAGCGATTATTTTCGCTTAACTTAACGTTGCTTGCGTTATTTACTAGAAAGTAATGAACCTTAAGTAATTAAAATTATCTCATGAAATATGAAACTATTACAAAATATTTTTAAACATATATTAAATAATTTATAGTAGTAACTATTTAATAATTTCACATTCAAAAATGTGTTAACATGCATTTAAAGACATAACCTAATTTTTTCTCATTATTTGTTTATAGTTCTAGCAGGCATAGCAATAGGCGGGTAGTCAACCTCTGGGATACCTTATTCGCAGAAATATATTTAATATGTTTATGTAAAACATATTAGATTGAAAGTACGATAAGGTGTGAGAAGCATTTTTCACTTAACATAAGTTCGTTCATATTTTCAATTTTCTACGTTTTTTTTTTTATGTGAAATAAATAATGCATCGAGATGACAAAAATCACTTCCAAAAATTGTGTATATTTAATTATTTGATTAAAGGAAGTGATGTAATATTAATTTCCATCTTATTATATATTTAAAAGTAATCACAATACTTACCGTGAACATCATTTTCAAGCAGTTTTTTTAACAGTTGCGAGTGGCTTACAATTTTTTTAGATATCCACAAATGAGCACCTTCACGTCATGACAGTGTTTCAAAATCTTCCTTTAATGGATTTGGTTCGGTTATAGTAGTTATATACCTTGTTCTTAATTACTCTCAATTAGTTRTATCTGTCACACGGAAAAGTTGCGCCCGGCAACTGGGGCTTCCGATATGCACACGGCGGCAAGCGTAAAATTCAACGTTTTGAACAGAAAAAAYAGGAGGCGGGGGTAAGTAACCACATTCGTTATTTTAGCACACAAACTAACCTCAAACGTTATCAACTCAGTATAATAAACTTATTTAATATAGTTCCCCAACGTTTATTCTCCTAACTCCACATATTTTTACTTTATTATATCAGTAATAAACTTTTTTCGCACATTAAAAAATTTTCAATGCGGCCTGCTGCACTGCAAAATGGAGACGACGCAACGAAAAATTCAACGAAATCAGGGCTGCCATATTCATGAAGGAAAATTAATACAAAAGTAATTTCAAAACGAAAAATTCACAATAGCTGCTGTCTAAAAATAACTACAGTTTTGTAAAATCCATACAACACCATTGAACTTTAATAAWATTATAYATATTTGATATTAATTTAAGTTTATATGCAAAAAGTTCTTATTTAAAGTGTTCTACGATTATTATTATAATTCAWGACATCGGTATTCAGGATCATCTTATAATTAATGCCCACATTTTAAAATCTCGTGTCATATATTTTCGAATAGACAAATTAAATGTTGATAAACATTTCATTTTTTATTTCCTTAAAGTTATTTGTTGACAATTTTAAGCTTCCCTGTAAATACATATATACATATGTTTTCAGCCGAAGCTAAAAGGAATGTCAAACAAATACGACAAATCCACAGGAACAGGAAGTTTCAGTGTAATTCTAGTTGAAGATAATAAGTCGGCTTCAATTTATTTTGAATAAAATTTTAACATCAAATCAAGTCGATTATTAAAGTGGTAGTTTTCTTTGCGCTAAAGTGAATTTATTACAATAATAATATACCAATGTAACACTTTGCCTCGTCACAGTAAGTTACTATAATTCTTTACTAAATACATCCTACTATAAAGGTGTTTTAAGCTATTTTTAGTATTAATACGAATAATCGAATTTAGATGATTAAATGAAGTGTGAAATTGTTTCCCCGAACTTGTCTTATTTAATTAACTTACCTCTATAAATTACTTTCACAAATCTATCGTCTTGATAGGAGTACATCTACCTACTCATTACCTTACCATATCCGTTTCCAAATCATAAATGTAAATAATATACTAGAAAAATATATTAAATTGATATTTATTAAAAAGGCTTCAGAAGTAGACTAATATTTSTTGATATTATGGTTTATTAAAATCATTTATTTGTTACGAATGTTCCAATCATTTGTTTGTTACAAATGTACATACATACGTAAATGCAAAATTCAGTTTTCCTCCTTAATTCTTATACTACATACATTCATAGTTTTTTATTCCATTTGAAAAAACAAATCCGCACTTGCGAGTGCGTTTGGTACGAGTGTACATACAAGAATATTAACGCTAGCTTAATATATAACATATTATTTTCATTTATGGTAGATATTTGTATTCATTTGTATATATGTCATTAGCATAAAACATATTAAATATAATTTAATAGAGAAAACTTTTAAGCAATCAATAAATAGGCAATCTTAAACCTAACATTTTKTGCGTATATTTAATTATTTCTGATATACTGTTACGAAGAGGCACACATACATTTGACTTATAACGAAACCCTTAATAACAAATTTATGAATTTAAAATATCGTACTTATTTAGTTTGTATATACTCTTATTATATGTCTGTATGTTTTTTCTTATCTTGTATAAAGAATTATTTAAAATACATTGTTTTGAACCAAAATAATTTTGAAAACAAACAGATAGATATACATACATATGAAAATACGATATTTTAAATAGAATATTTTGAAAGAAAAACTTGTATGTCGAAAAATAATTGTATTGCTTTAGTTATTAGCATGRCGACACTCATATATTTTCTTTAACCACTTACATAATTTTTGTTTTTAACTGTTTTTATGAACAATAATATTGCAAATATTAATTTAAGCCCCTTTAACCTAAATATTCAAGTAATTTGCTGTTCAATTAAATTATTTGAAATCAACATACAACTATTCTAGGGAAATATATTTACGCATATTTATCTCAATGTGAAATCATAAATATGTATATTTATAATAATAAATATTTTACAACTAAATATGTTTGTATATTAATAACTGTAAATTCAACAGAGAAAACTTGTTGAATCGAGCCTATTTAGAGTAAAAATGGGCATTCGTAGCAAATATAATACAGCGAAAAGTTACATCATTTATGCGTACAAATGTCCATTTTAAACAGTTTAGTTAATATGTTGTTGTGTAGCAGTATATCAGATATTAACAAATTAAACTTTATTTGGTTCCGGAAATAAACTAAGGTATCATATTTGGCTCCTGCGTGGCCCCCGTAGAATATTTGGGTTTGCATACACAACCGCTCTCAACCAATACGTAGTCCTGACCAGTTAGTGTGACTGGGCCCAACGGAATTACAAGAAATAGATACGGCACATATGTCTGAGTGCATTCACCACGTACAACGTCACATTCACCCGATCTGGGGAGAATAATAAATGAATTATTAAAGTATTACAATATATGAATAGGAGTTATGGAGAGTTGCAAAACAAATAAGCTCTGACTAACTGGCCCTAAAACTCTGTACTTGTTTATTTCTTGTTATTTTTGCAAACTCTTAAGTTCATCTATTCAGAACACAGTTTTTAGCAGCGTAAGAGCTAAAATCGTTTGAAAGATACAAGAAGTGTAAATCGTAAAAATATCTAAGTTACGGAGTCTTCTTAAAACTCATAATGGATCAAGAGTTAGGAAATTAAGTATTTAATAAAATATCGTTTCTAATCGAATTTTGCTTTTGCTACCCATTATCATCACACATCTTTCTCATTAAAACAACTTACTCGCAAACTTCAAATACGACTTGTTGTAACAGATCAGGGAACTTTTGAACAATGGTAACCGGCTGTCCAGATGTCAAACTGACTCCGTACATTGGCGCCGTCGTATTGTAGCGTGTTTTGCACAGACGAGATGGCGTTTCTCTACATTGACTGACAGGTGCATTTGACAAAGACCGACCTATGTGATTTAAAATTTAATAAAGAATTATAAAAGTTGCCAGGTATCAAACGGATCGAAATAGCTCACCATAACGATTGCTTGTAGGAATATCATTATTGACTTCGTCATAGGCACGTAATAGAGCATTCGTTGTTATCGCAGGATCTAGCGTTGAGGGGAATTTACTTTGACGCCCACGCCTGGAGTTACCGTTCCAGTTCGAGAAAGTTCGTGCCACAGCCGCACTGATGAGTAAAAGAAAATTATTAATAACTACTTTTTTTTAAGAARCGTTAAAAATTATGGTGCAGATTTCAACTTTAAAGTTTCACTTTAGAGTCCAACAGCTWTTTTATTTTACCTTGGATAGGGCGAGTTGTTCGGCCCCATACAATTGGGAGAATCAATTAGCGCATTGCCGGACAAATATTTCAACCCCGCTCCGCCACTACATTTCTCCGCCTTTTCAGTATCGTAATTTGACCAAAGTGCCGCACTCGCAACCTGCATGCTTAGTGCAATTATAACAATAGCCAACTTCATCTGTAATCGAAAAAAAATTTAAGATCAATTATACAGTTTAGTTGAAATAGGAATGAGGAAATAATTAAAATAAGGTATGAGGAACTAATATATTGAAATCCAGTTTCGTTTTTATGAGGTAGTTTTAGGTACACAATATTAGAGCAATTCTAAAATAAAAGCCAATATTGGAAMAAAGAACAAACATGTTAGGTGATAGAGATTGAGGTTAGTTAGTTGTGAGGTTTTCCTAGTAAACATAAATAAGTACGCCATTATTTTGGAAATTTTTTAAATATTTTTTAAAAATKTATTGATCATCAAAATCTTTTCRAGTGTACTTTAATATTATTTAAGTTTGTAACACCTAGAAGAAAATGTCGRACACAAAATAAGGTATTCATGTCCGTCTTTTTGAWACATCAATCTGGATTTTTCCGCACGTTCTCCCCTCCCCAAGAAGCTGATGTATTGGACCACTACTGCATATATCAAGCATACAAACTGTACATTTCTGTATGAAATACTTTTTCATTTGTCGAGATTTTGATGAAATTGGGATACTAGATGCCAATGTTCATGACARTATTTTCTCCGAACAAATTCTTCTGATCGGAGAACTATAACAAATAGCTATCATATAAACTGACTGAATGAGATCAATATCTAATACAGCTGTGAAGAATATTATAGCTTCGGTGTAAGGGTTTTTTTTTTCTTTTTTTTTATTTATTTGACTAATTTCTCATACAATCTGAATAAAGTTATTACCTACGCCTACCAACGAGGCATCTTAGTATTTTAGCAGTGAAACATTTGCTTAAAAATCATAAAATSAATTATGCCTCGCCATTTTACTCCTCTAAATCGAAAATCAAACAAATAAAGTTTTTTATCGTGCTTGTATGTAGAACTAAATGTCATTTAATTTATAAAAATTGTTATGAGTTTTTTGACTTCTGTAACTCTTAAGTGGCATAAAACCAGCTCCGAGTCATGAATTCACTTTCGTTTGCTCACAATGCTTTGTTCTTCTATAGATACTGTTAACACTTGTCTATAAAACTATATGCATATGTATATTTTTATCATTTTATTAACATTCAATTCTGTTTTATTTTTCGTTAGTGATTTCATTGTCTAAGAAATAGTTGRTGTGAAAGTTAAAACGCGAAATTTTATCCATACATACAAACACACTTTATAGACATATGTACATAAGTAGCTACATACATGTAAGTGAAGAGAGTGGACTTGTTTCGCGATTTTTTGATTATATATGGCGATCAATTTGAGACTTCTTTAAACTTTATAGGTCAAGCCAAGTTAGTGAGTGTATAAGCTCATTCACTTTCACTACAAACTTCCTCTTTTAGAAGTTGTTAATTACGATTTTATGCGAAGAGCAAGACAAGTGGTGATGTACATACATATATGTGTGTGTGTATGGTATAATAATATATTTAAGTTTGTAATTCGCTCGACGTGCTGCTGATGCGCCCACTGATTACCTCTCCTTCTGAATTAAAATCAAGGGAAATAAAATTTGCTGTTATGATTGAAATAAATTTCTTTTTCGCTATAGTATGTATCGAAAATTCTGCATAAGTAGTCGATCCATGCATAGAGTGTAAAAGTAAAGAGCAAATTAATTACTTCTATGAACCGAGAACTCAATCAGCGCCGGTAAATATTTGCTGCATGCCGCCCCACTAACCTCCATAAGCTTAGAGTGTTTATAGAATGCAAATGATACGATAATATTCATTGGTATCATATACCCACATACATATACATATGTACATACATAGAAACTCTGTGAACTGACAAGTGATCGGCATGCAATAAGGCTTGGGCATGCGAATACAACGAAAGCCCAGTGACAAACTTTCTTTTCTTTTCAAAATCGTACGCAGCGGCGACGAATGTCCATTCATTACTTTTGATTTTATATTTTAAATTTTTTTCTTACTATTCCAATTTCTCTCAACTGTACATGCTTAGTAAAATAATGAAGGAAAAATCATATTAATTGCCAAATTTGCTTGATTTTTATTTGCTCTTTATTTGTAGTTGTTTGTAGTTTGAGTTTCATTCGCCGCGAGAAACGAAAGCGAAATTCTATTATTCAATTCTTTATATGGCCAAGCCGTCGCCTTAATAAAGAAGACGATCAAGTTTGCTATTACATTCGCCCATCAAACTGCATACATATATACATGCAAATGTATGCGCGGCATGCAGAGTCGTTAGTCTGTCGTGTCTATATGATTTAGTGGCTATAGCACTTGCTACCACACATACACACACACGTGCTTCATAAATAGCCGTTGGTATGTACATTTGTATGACTTAATGGCCTACCGTGTGAATCACTCTCGCCAACACCCGGCACTTTCATCTCACTGCCCACGGTACGACTCATAACGGCAAGTTATTTTTCGATGATTCTCTTCTTCTTCGCTTTTTTACTGTAAAGGTACCAGTTTTTCAATTCGATTAAAATGTAAACACTGTTTAATGCTGTGGTCTTTTACATATAATTACTTATGCATATACATATATGCTTATTTGAAGATTGCAGGTAAATACATACTTATGCAGAGGCGCTTAGGTAAATAGCCTGCAATGAAGGGCAATGACATACGTTGTCATTGAATTAATAGCTTGTCAAGCAAATTTTTTATTCTTTGCTTTGTTTTTGTTTTTTAATATGTAAGAAACGTGGACATAAAGTGACCAACCAATGTTACCCTACGTTTTATTGCTCGAGTCTACCAAATGAGACTTTCTACTTTAGTCAATCGTCATCGTCATAATTATCAGTTACGAAGTCAAAATCTGTTTTCTTCGCCTATTACATGGTTTAAAGGCATTGAAGTTATACAATGAAATGCCGTTAATGCCATACACCAGCGGCAATGTTAAAAAGAAAAGCTATGTTTTGAGATTTAATAAAAGAAAAAGAAATAATAAAAACTTTGTTTCACCAAATTCATTTTTATTGAACAACTTTCGAAAACTATTAATGCTCAAAAGGGTTTCGTTTTTCATGACAATGCGAATTTCTTTGCGAAAAGCTGCTTTCCATTATAGATACTGAACCATTGGTAATTTTGAATTCCTATGTAGATAAAATTGAGCTGATTAGTAAGGTTCAGGACTTTTCAGACCTTTATGTATATTATACATTAATTATATTATAGTTTAAWATAAAATTAAACGAAGGAAGCGCCTACTGTGGACAGGATTACAATTACACGTATAGCATGATAAAAGTTGTGATTAAAGTACATTCTTTAAATTAGTCTTAATAGTTTGAATCATTAAAAGATTGTTCGCAATTTAAGCCTCTAGGCATCCTGTATAAAGTCAAAGACTGCTTCCGTAAAACAGTAACAAAAAAACCCTTGACAAAAGGAACACTTTCAGCAGAATTTTCGAATGAAAATGAGGCTAAAACCTAAATTACTCTAAGCACCTCATGAAAATGCCTTATTTTTCTTGGTCATAATAAGATGTCTGAAAGATGGCTGCGTTAACCTCAACTCTGATCAACTTTTCGCGTAGATAATCGACACTGTTTTACTCCCATGAAATTATAATTTCCCTTTCCAACGCAACTGACATATCGACATCTAAATAATAATACGAACAGAATAATCAAAACAGACACTTTCGTTTTTACACACTGACCTGGTATCATATAACACAATTGGTTWAACCGCAATCAAATTAATTAATTCCTTGGCTTCTTACATATCACTTTTATACATACATACAAATTACTTGGGTCATTTATTTACCATTTAATATTTTCGTATTGCGTATTAATACTTATCCATAAATGGGTTTAACGTTTTCATTGGCTCTATTTTGATCAGTTTTCTTAAGCAGAGAATGAAAGACTTGTGCATTGATCCATAGAAGGTCTTTCCGTCAATACGGTGGCACATTGTACAAACGTACACCCATACTTACATATACATATATCCGCACGAGCAAAAATCAACACGCGTGTGCGTCTGTTAACAATCATTCTGCTCTATTCGGGCTATCTATTGTTGCCATAGAAAAGTGCGGAGACATTTTTGTACTTCTAAGCTTTTTGTTGGTCACACACATCTAACATTCCATAGAAAGAAACAACAACAGAAGTGAACTAACTAACACTACACAGCTTAAGAACAAACAAAACAAATAGACAGAACAAAGAACGGCTTAAGCTATTTCTGTAAAACCCGAAAGCTGTGGTATGTTTGTTGGTTCGAAATCACTACCGAGTCTAATGATCAGCTGACTTTTACAGGTTATAAGAAATCTCAGTTAGCAACTATAATTATTTATCTATTCAAATAATTATTATCTTCAAATAATATTAAGACTTTCAATAAAAATCCTTTAGAATACTTGCTATTTAATATTTAACACAAATTGTGTGAAATTGGAGAGCATAATTCAATGCAAACATTTTGCAGATTCTTTTWTTATAAGAATTGGTTAATTGATTTTTTTCCCATTAATTTAAATAGCATTGGCAATTATTTTTTAATATTATGCTGTATTTTTTTTTCCAATTCCTACTACTTTTTTATCATTTGGCTCTTTTTAGGAGTAATTCTCTTAAATGCTAGATCCTTTTGCTGATATACTATATGTATTTCCTGATTATTATCTGCTCCTATCAATAGATTTTCACGACAGTTCTCCAGATTCAAAGGAGATAGAGGTGTAATTCTTCTGCATCTCTGAAAGCTTTCGGGATTGAAGACACCAAGTGGTGACCGCTTGCAGTATGTTTACAAATATACGCACAATGTGGTATATAGAAAATGACAAACACCGTTAGATTGAGGTCATTGACCCATATATGGTCAAGTGGAAGTAAAAATTGTATTGGCGATCAAAATTAAATACACACCGCTACTGTTCGGTCAGAAATAAATACCAAATAACGATAACAGGTATATTTGTATGTAGTATGCTATATATGCTGTCCAGTGTCTCTGTGTGCATATATA